GTCTTGCGTGCAGTGGGCACCGCAGGGCATCTCTCTGGGCTCTCGCCTGGTGGGCCCTCCCTGGCAGAGAGACAACGGAGCCACACTGTCACTGTCCGTTCACCCGCAGGAGGCCTGTGTTCCTCCCTCCAGAGTGGCAGCTGCGCGGGAGGCCCCTGGGCCGCACCGTCTGCCCGTTTTAGCAGACTACCAACCTCCTTGGTCTGTGGGAATCTTGAGGTATTCCGGGTACAGGTCTGCTGTCGGATGTTCCCACACTCTGCGGACCGTTCATTTGACGGGCAGAGATTTGCATTTCGGTCAAGTTTATTGGTAATTTTTTCATGCCTGTCTGTGCTCTGAGACGTGCGTGCCCCTGAAGGCCACAGCACTCTCTTCGTCTCCTGGGAGGGTTAGGCTTTGCTTTTATGTTTCAGTCTGCGGGGGGTCGCAGGCTCCCTCGTGTGTGGGGCGGAGTCGCATTCGCTGAAGGGGTCTCACTGACCAGACCCCGGCTGGACCTCTTGGGTCTGTTGCTCGGTTGCTCTGTTCTGTGCTAGTGCCAAGCGCTGGATGGCACTACACGCCCCGCACCAGCTCCCCAGGACTCTTGCTGCTGCAGCTCTGAGATCAGTCTTGAATGGGGAGCCTGAGTCTTTTGGGGGACACTTACTTTCTACTTTTTCAAAGTTATTTTGGCTTTTCTAGTTCCCTTGCATTTCCACATAAATGTTAGAATTGGCTTGTAAAAGTCTAAAGACCTTTCCTTGGCTCTGGAGGCCAGAAGTCCAAGATTGAGGCGCCAGCAGCTGGTCCCTGGCAAGGCCCCTCCTCTTCTCGTACGGACAGCAGTCCTGCGGGAGCAGGGCTCTGTCTACCCTTAGGACCTCACTTCACCACAACTGCCTCCAAACAGTCAGCAGGGGTCAGGCTCACGGCTGAGTCCCTTACGGACAGTCTTGTGCAGCCCTGACCGGTGTGGCTCGGTTGGCTGGTCGTCGCCCTGCAGGTAGCCAGTTGACTCCTGGTCAGAGCATGTGCTGGAGCTGTGGGTTCAGTTCCCAGTTGGGGTGTGTACAAGAGGCATGATTGATGTCTACCTGTATTTCCCCTCCCTAAAAAACAACTCTGAACGGCTCCAAGTGCCCCAATCCACGGACACGGGACCTCCCCACACTGCCACCCACGCTCCAGTGTCGGGGCACACACTTTCTTACCTCCAGGCATGTTGTGATTTTTAAGGCTGTCACAAACGAGATTTTTTTTTTTAAAGATTTTATTTATTTATCTTCAGAGGGGAAGGGAAGGAGAGAGGGAGAGAAACATCAATGTATGGTTGCCTTTTGTGCATCTCCTGCTGGGAACTGGCCTGCAGGGAACAGGTCTGCAACCCAGGCATGTGCCCTGACTGGGAATCGAACCGCGATTGTCTGGTTCGCAGGCCCGCGCTCAATCCACTGAGCTACACCAGCCAGGGACAAACCAGCCAGAGATTTTTAAGTGGATACTGTGCTCTTGCATGGTAAGCTGTGTAACTGATTTTGTACATTGACCATATCCTGTGACTTCACTAAACTCACTTGTCTGTCTGGTGGCGTCTTGGTAAGAGTTAAAGCATCCCGGACAAACCCTGCAGGGCCCCTGCTCCCGTCTACACCCTTTCTCATTCCTACCACCCGCCGCCCCGCACTGCCCACATGCCCGGTGTGAGGAGGGTAACCGCCGAGGCCGCCTGGTCTCCAGTGTCCAGCAGACCATGTTCAGGCAGGTTTTTGGACCTGTGCTTCATCAGGGTGTGAACATCCACTTCTCACGTTCTGTTACCGAGGATGGACGCCGAAAACTGTCAGATGTGCTTCCCTGCACCTGCATCAGTCCTCGTGCTGGTGGCCTGGCCCACCAGCCCTTGTGTTCTCAGGCAGCTCAGGGTGGCCCGTTGCGTGCAGCCCACGTCCAGAGGAGCAGGGCTCTGCGGGTAAGCCATCTGTGGCACGCCCTGACGTCCCCCAACCTGGGACCTCTGTCGCTTCTCTTCCTATTGATTAGTCCAGCCAGGGGCTCATCGGTTTTAAAGGTGATTTCAAAGAACTGCGTTTGGAGCCAGGAAGGCCCTGTGTGTAGTGTGAAGGTTTCATGGTCTCAGGGATGGGAGCCAGTGCAGGGGCAAAGGGGTTGTGGGATCTGACCTTAGGCTTGAGGGGTGACTGGAGGATGGAGAACAGACTGCAAGTACAAGGGCTGAAATGGGACCCACTGGGGGGCGGCGCCTGGGACCTGCGGGTGGCAGCAGGGTGGTGGAAGGGGCTCCCATCGTGAGCATGTTGGGAGTGGGGCTGGCAGGTTTCAGAATGGACTGGACGTGGGCTGGGAGGGAGAGGCAGAGGGGAGGTTGTTCAGGCGTGTGCACAGGAAACAGCCACACGAACACAGGGGGCAATGAGGTGGATGCCAGTGCAGTGGACAGAGACCGTGAGGAACGGGCGACCACACGGCTCTTTCCAGGGACTCTGATGCAGGAGAGGAACCAGAGGCAACAGGTTGGAGAGTGAAGACGAACAGAAGGGTCTCATCAGGGGTAGAGTGCAAAGCTGCTGCTGAAGCAACTGCAGCCCTGGGACGGGCACAGGGGCACTCACCGGCTTCTCCTGTCGAATGACAGCCTTTTCAAGGTGTAACTCACACCGTGAAACCCACCCTTTCCAAACATACACTGTGTGTTTCAGTACTGTGACTGGGTGGTACGGCCATGCCTCTTGCTGCAGATCAGCCCACAAAGGGCCCTGTGCCCAGCAGCGGGTGCTCACCCCGCCCTCCTGCCCCCACGTGCCCTTGTCCACATCCGTGTCTGCGAACTTGTCTTTCTGGACGTTTCACACAAGTGCAGCCATGACACCTGGCCTCTTGTCTGGCTTCTCTCATTTGTCGTGATGTTTTTAGGCTGAAGGAGACACATTGTGTTGTTCACCTGTTGACAGACATTTGGGTGTTTCCACCTCTGGCCACTCAGGACAGTGCTGCTGTGGACGTGCATGTCCACACGTCCATGTGGCCTCCAACCTTGGTGCTTTCGTCCCATTCCGCTGCTGCCCCAGGAAACTTCCAGTCTGCAGCTTCCAGTCTGCAGCCAGGCAGATGAGGAGGGGCCCCAGGCACTGGGCACAGATAGGGGGAGTTCCTGTGGAAAGGCAGAGGCAAGACCTGGAGGGGTGCCACTGTGGTGGGTGACAAGGTGGCCCAGGACAAAACACAAGGGGAAGGCAGAAGGGAGACTCCAGGTGAAGGTGAGGAGTCCGTCTTGTCCTGAGGACCCCTTGGGCCCCACAGAGATGGGTGCAGGGGCCTGGTGTGCTCTCCGCACTGTGTGAGGGTGACCCCAGAGAACCTCAGAGGATGCAGCCCTAGAGAGCAGGTAGGTGATGGCCAGGCTGGGCTGCCTGGGGAACACCTGGGTGCACAGGCCCAATGCAGCTGGACCACAGGTCTGGGCCTGGGAACGTATTATCTGGGCGCCTTGGTTCCCAGGCTGCACTGAGAGCAACACAAATTCAGGGATGTGCTCACATCCACACACCCACTCAGCCTCCCAGGACAGAAGTGGGAGACTGGGGGTGGGCACACCCTGACATGCGCATGGGTTAGGGGCTTCCTGGGGCAAGATGAGGCCAGGGAGAGTCGAGGGGTGCGGAGGGAGGCCCACATACAGAGGTAGATCCCCGAGGGGTTGTGGCCCTGGATGCCCCAAGATGCGTGGCCCGGCAGCGGTACTTGAAATGGCCACGTGGGCACACATCCTTGGGGGCTGGTCAGGGACCGGGCCATCCCGCCCCTCCCTGCAGGCTGCAGACTTTCTGCCTGTCCGCCCCTTTCCACCTCCACGTTGGGTCCCATGGAGCCGGTCCCTTCCCCAGAGGCAGCAGCCACCCCGTCTTAGACCCTCCAGGCAGCGGGGGTGGTGGCTCTGGTGCTCGCCAGCAGAAACACACGCCCGCTCCCAACCGACCCGGTCGGGTGATCTCAGAACAGGGTCCAGGGACCTCAAGCCTCCTGGTGGCCGTGGCGTGCACACCAGGTTGTACTCCTCCGGCCAGAACCTGTGGACGGCCGCGCCCGGGGCTCCTTTAAGAACACGTTGCGCCCTCCGGCTTCCTTTTTCTTGAACATTGCCCTCGAGGGACGCGACGCCCCGCCCCGCCCCGCCCCGCGCGAAGACCTCTGCTTCGCCCCTGCCTCTGGCGTCAGGGCAAATCAGTGGGTGGGAGCTAGGGGAACTAATAGAAGGCGGGCCCTCCGCCGGAAGGGGCGGGGGTAACGTGAGAGGGGCTGTGTCGGGCGGTAGAGGCCGTTATAGCCTCACTGGCCCCCGAGCGCTGCCGGAGCCAGGGCAAGCCAATGACTGCAGCGACCCGGGGCACATGATGGGAGGCGGGGCCTTCGCCGGAAGGGGCGTGGCAAGGCGAGGCGAGCGACCTGTTGACGCGGTAGGTTCTGGGTGGCCGCAGTATTGGGCGCAGGGTGCGAGTTCCGCCTTGGGGGCCGCAGGGGCGGTCCCGCAGGCCAGTCCTCGGGACGCCCCCTCCTCCTCCCTGCACTCACCTGCCCGGCCGGCCCCTCCTTCCAGCTAAGGAAGCCGAGTCCGCAGCCCGCCCTGCTTCGGATCCCGCGGCCCGCTGCGCCTTGCCAGCGCCACATCTGGCCCCCAGGGGGCTCCCAAGCGCAAGTCCGGTCCCCTTAGAAAGTCCGAGGCAGGCAGTTAGTTCCCTCTCCAGAGGCTGAGTCTCGTGCGCATTTAGTGCTGGCGGCAAGGGAAAAGGTAACACAGTCACACTGGGGAAAAACTCACGTAAACGAAGACGCCATGTTCTCTCCTCTGACGCGCGCGTTCGGAAACGCAGCTGTCGTCGCCACCGCACCCACTCCGTGATCGGAAAGCGCCGCAGTTAACGTTCCCCAGATGCACTTTTCCCAGTGACCACCCGGAGCGCCGTGTCGGCCTTGCCCGGAATGTCACTTTGACTGGTTAGATCTCAGTATCCAGGAGGCCACCCCACGTGGGCCGGGGCGGAGGACCCCATCCTCGGCCCCCCACCTCCAGCTCTGGAAAGTGTTGACAGGAGAACTGGGAACTGGAAAGTACTAGGTGATCCCTGAGCAGCTCCGCCTTGTATGTTTTTAGACATGGACCAAAGACTTTCAGAGTTGGTAGAGGACCTCACCACTTCGGGAGAGCCCCAGCTGAACCCTGAGAAAATGAAGGAGCTGAAGAAAATTTGCAAGTATGTCTCTGGGTTCGGCATTCCACGGCGACTGGCTGGCCCCGCAAGGTTGCTGCCCGGGGTGTTTGTGAGGCCTTCCCCAGGCCAGGCCTGCGTATACCTCAGCCCTGCCTGCCCCCATCTGCTGGGCAGGGACCCCCAAAGGACACGCCTAGCGTGTTAACCCTGGCGCTGGGGTGTGCTGGGGCTGTGGCCCCGGGGTGGAGGGTGGTGTTGGGGGAGCACATTAGGACTGCGGTTGGTTGTGCCTATGTTCACTCTCCTGTGTGGGTGACAGAGCACCTCCCTCCCTTCAGCACACGCATGTGACTCAGAGATGAGCCACACCTCTGTCTTCACTGTCGGAATGTGCAACATAAGTCGAGTTTTGCTGGTCATGCTTAGCCTCCTGTGTTTACAAAACAGGAGACCTTAGGGTATTGCTGATGGAGGGTGTACATTTCGACAACACTTTCAGCTCAGGCCCAGAAAACCCCCAGCAGCAGTGGCTCACGGGGCAGGGGGGGGCACTCAGTCCGAGCAGGTGTCCCAGGGGTGCGAGTGGGTGGCAGGGCCCCCTCAGGGAGGCGTCCGGGGCACTGACCCTGAAGCCTCGTCTAGTCATGAAGTATGATCTTTGATTCATTTCCACTGTTTTAAAATGTAAAAGCCATTTTTTAAATTCTCACCTGAGAAAAGGTTTATCCATTTTAGAAAGAGAAGGAGGGGAGAGAGAGAAACATTGGTTGCCTCTCATAGGTGCCTGACCAGGGATCAAACCCGGGACCTTTTGGTGCTCGAGACGATGCTCTGACCCACCGACCCACCTGGCCAGGGCCTGTAACACATTCTTGGCTTGTGGGTTTCATAGAAGTGGGCAGGAACCAGGTATGGCCTTGCGAAGGGGCAAGTGGGACCTGGCAGAGGGTGCACATCCCTGCCCCTCGTGAATACTGTCCCCACAGTGTTTAACTATCGTGTCCCCAAGTTGGGCACTTGGTAAGAACTGATGGCCTCGGCAGGTCATCGGAGGAGCAGCTGAGCCGCGCCTACCACCTGCTGATGGCCCAGCTGAGCCAGGAGCACGCCGAGGTCCGCCTCTCTGCCTTCCAGATCATGGGCGAGCTTTTCGGCCGGTCTCACCTGTTCAGGGTGCTGGTTGTGTCCAACTTCCAGGAGTTCCTGGAGCTCACATTGGGCACTGACCACAGGAAGCCTCTGCCGCCGCCCCGGGAGGTGGCCCAGAGGCTGAAGCAGGCCGTCGCCCTGGCTGTCCAGAGTTGGAACGAGAAGTTTGGCTCGGCCTATAAGAAGCTTGCCTTGGGCTACCACTTCCTGAAACACAGCCAGCAGGTGGGTGGGCCTTGGCCGTGCAGTCTCTGTGGACAGGTGTGCCTGGATGCCCAGCTGCTGGGCCAGGGCTGTGGACCCAGCAGGCCCGAGAGTCACCAGCAGGTGGCGTCAGGCTCCTGAGAAGGGGAAAGCTGGAAGCTGCTGGGGGCGGGGTGGGGCGGGTGGCTAGCCTGTGGAGCTCCATCCTGGGTGTGCCAGTGAGGCAAAGGGCAGTGGATTCAGCTCCGCAGACACAGCCCTTCTCAGCCATGAACTCCCACTGTCTGGGGACCACCCTCAGACTTTGTGGTCACCCGGGTCCCTCCACCTGTCTCTGCAGCCAGCCTGGGGGTGCTGCCACCCCAGGGCCCATGCTCAGGAGGTGTTCTCTGGCCCCCGGTGTGACCTGCCCCGGCCCCATCTGCTGGTCGGAGCCAGCCCCCTCCCCCTGCAGCAGCTTGGGGCCAGACCGAACCCACAAGCCAGCGGCTCCCTTTTGCTTTCAGCACTGAACTAAAGGTGCCCTCCAAGGTCTGGCTGTGTGCTGGTGCTGCTGTATCTCCTCTTTGGCCCGTTTTCTCTTTTTACTTGTTGAGACTTTATCTATTTAATTATAGAGGGGGAAGGAAGGGAGAAAGAGAAAGAGAAACATCGATTGGTTGCCTCACGCGTGCCCCCATCTCAGGATCTGGCCTGCGACCCAGGCCCACGCCCTGGCCGGGGGTCGAGCTGGTGACCAGTTGGCAGGCCGGGCTCAGTCCACTGAGCCACACCAGCCAGGCCATTTTTTTAAGTTGATTTTAAAAAACTTTTAAATTTATTTGTTTTTAGAGAGAGGGGAAGGGGGGGGGAGAGAGAAACAGACATTGACACGAGAGGGAAACAGCAGTCAGCTGCCTCTTGAGCGCTACCAACTGGGGACCAAACCTGAAACCCAGCCGTGTGCCCTGACCGGGAGTCAAACCGGTGACCCTTTGCAGGATGACATCCAACCCACTGAGCCACAGAGGTCAGGGCTTCTTTGCCTCATTTTGATTTTAATTTTCTTTGTGTTCCATTCGGTTGAGTCTCATCTTTACCTCAACTTCTCAGGTGGATTTTCAGGATGTGAACACTAGGACTCCGGTGGAGAGGAAGCGAGAGGAGGAAAAGCAGAGGCGCTTGGACCGGATCTACCGGGAAAGGTCCGAGCAGGCCGTGCGGGAGATGCAGGGTGAGGTGCTGGGGCCTGACCGTAGGTGAGCGACCGCAGGGGGACGAACCAGCTGGGCAGAGAACCCCTCCCTGCCCCAGGAGCCGCTCCTGGTCGGCACCCTCATCTCGCCTGCATCCTTGGTGGTTAGGCTGGCCGGGCAGGGCAGAAGAGAGCGGGTCCTCGGCTGCTCTGGCCTGAGCTTCCCCCTGCCTTTCCTGGCCTTTCTCGCTCTTGCAGCTCCTCCCCCAAACTCCAGCATTTGCTTTCTGGCAGCCAGGGTGTGAGGAACAGGGAGGCGGCCAGGCCATGAAGAAGGCGCAGAGCGGGGCCCTGGTCCCGAGGTGGGAGAGCCCTGTGGGGAGTGGTGCAGGTGCAGTGGGGCTGGAGGACCGGACGTGTGTCCTCGCTGGTCTGACCTCCCGTGCATCCTGCCAGCCTGTCCCACGTGGAGCTCACAGAGGCACTGAGGAGGCCCTGGGGGCACCAGCATGTGGGTGGGCCAGCCCCACAGCTGCGGCAGCCCGGCTGACCCTTCAGTAGCCACCAAGCCTCCACTGACCTTCAAGGCCGGGACGTTGGCCCTGCTGGGGAAGGCCTCCCTCGGACACGCTGTCCAAGGCCCTCCTGCCTGGGGAGGTGGTGCTGTCCCGGGAAGCGCCCAGCAAGCCACTTCTTGGTCTTTGCAGAAATGTCTGAAGAAATCCGGGGCTGCCTTGTGGAGGCGGACAGCTGCTTCCGGCTGCTGCTGCCCTTCGACTTGGGGCCTTGCCTGGGGGCTACCCCACCCACTGAGGCCCGTGCTATGTCCAAGGAGGGCACCCCCTGCCCAGCCAGCACCCCTGACCTTGGGGACGAGGAGCAGCCGTGCTGCAGCAAGACCCTGCCTGGCTGTGCTCGCCCTCCAGTAGCCACCAGCGGGGAGGGGCTGAGCCAGGCCTCCACAGGGGCACCCTCAGAGGAGAAGGAGGACGAGGAGGAGGAGGAGGAGGAGGAGGAGGAGGAAGATGACAGCGACCAGGAAGAGTTTGTGCGGCACCACGGGCTGGGCTCCCACAAGTATACGCTGGACGTGGAGCTCCACTCAGGTGACACGGGCTCCGCGGCTGCCACTCTGGGTGGCTGCTCCACCAGGCCTTCTGGGCCACGGCCGTGGGGTACTTCCCACAGACTCTGTGGGGCCGTGGGTGGGGCAGGGACTCCTGAGGCTGAGGCGAGGCTGTGGATCCCCAGGCCCCGCCCTGCGGCCCTCACTGTGACCTGCAGGCGAGGTGGCCAGGGTGCCCTGGAAGCTCCCGCAGTGGCTGCGGGCTGCTGGGCGCAGCTTCCTCACAGGCGTCTGCGGTCCCTGTTGGATGTGGCTGGGGACCTTCGGGTGCCTTCTTGGGTGGAGGGCAGCCAGCTCATAGCTGCAGGAAGTCCTGCCTGTGGCGGGGAGCGGCGTGGCCCAGTGCTGGAGGGGGGCAGGGGTTAGGGGGCCTCCCACTGAGGGCAGCAGAGGCAGGGATCCTGGGGCTCTAGGGACGGGCTGGCCTGTCTGTGTCCGAGGAACCACCCAGGTCTCAGCCTGGAGCGGCGGGGCATTGGGGTCAAGCTGAAGCCTTCTTCCCCAGAGTTGTCAGGCAGCGACGACCAGCGACCCAAGGGTCGAGGTGCCTGTGATGCAGACAGGTGGAACTGCAGGTGACCTGCCTGGGGCCCCTGGTCCCTCTGGTGACCCCATACACCCCTTTGCAGACGGCCTGAGGGTGCATGCGGATGAGGACAACTGGGCTGTCATCCAGTCGGCCCAGGACACGCTGAAGCTCATCCAGAACAAGTTCCTGCCCGCTGTGTGCTCCTGGGTCCAGGTGAGGCATGTGGGGAGGGCTGGGGGCCGGTGGGGGGGCCCAGCCTGCCAGGTGACGGGCCCTCTTGCTGGCAGCTCCTCACCCGTGCAGGGACACACCGTGGGCACTTAGAGGCTGCTATCGACCTGAAAGCGGAACTGGAAGCTGCCCTGAGGAGATCCCGAGAGCTGGACATCGAGCCCGCAGGGCTGCACAGGAGGGAGGTGCGTGCCATGGGCCGAGCTCAGCCTCTAAGCAGGAACCACGGGGCTCTGGAGCATCCCGTTCTTTCCTCACTAGGGCCTGGCATGGAGGGTGGGCCCAGCCCAGGGCCTCCCCAGATACGGAGGGGCTGGGGCAGGGAGGCCTAGGTCCCTGGGGCTGCTGCTGAGCATTTGGTCCCTCCTTGACTTTGCAGGCGCGCAGCCCCTGGGGACCAGCAGGGGGCGATCTTGTCTTTCTCCTCAAAACCCAGGCCAGTGAGTGAAATTCACAGCAGGCTGGGGGCAGGGCACGGTGCGGTGAGCCTGGTGTGTCTGCTGGTGTGGCCGTGGGCTCACTAATTCCTCACAGAGGCCATCGTCAGCACCTTGGTCACCTCGGAGCTCATGTGTGCCTCAACCTCTCGCTGGCGGATGCTTTGCTGCCGCCCCCAAGGCATTTGTGGGGCGATGTGTGGGCTGGGAGGCATGAGTGTCCAGGCCTGGCCACCCGCGGGGCCTCTGCGGGGTTGCCTGTGGCCGGAGCGGACTTGGGGTTGGCAAGATGCCATGTTCTGTTAGGAGGGCAGGGACCGACCTGGGGATGGTAGGGTAAGCTGAGGCAGGCACCGTGAGTGCGGTGGGGGTGCACAGGGCTGACGGAGGAGGGGAGCGGGAAGGCGGGCTTGGCTCTGCCTCCAGGAGCTGACGGAGACGGAGACAGGCTCCTTCCTGGGCTGTAGGTGGGGCGACGGGGCTGCGGGCTGAGTGGCAGCGCCCTGTCCCCAGGGCAGACTGCGGCACCTGCTCCCCTTCTGTGCCGGCAGCCACCCTCGGTCTGGTGGTTAGAAATGAGTGCACGTTGGTCTGGGCTGGTTTTCCTGTGAAATGCCTGGTGGTTGGGTCCCTGGCCTGGGCTCTCCCCACTTAGCTGGGCCCTGACCGTGCAGGGAACGGGTGGAGCCCGGAGCTGACTCGATAAGTGACACAAATACCTGAGACAGAGACGGTGCTGCTTGCTCCAGTGACCACAGGCCCAGGGCCAGTGGGGCAGCGTCTGCCCCTGGAGGCCGGCGCCAGCCTGCCCGAGACCGTGCTGCTTGCAATCCCCGTGGGATGGCGGCCGCCTTTTCCTTTTGATTTTCTGTTTTTGTCTGTTGCTGGTTTCTGCGGACCGTTTTCCTTTTGATGTAGGTGTTACGTCCTTAAAAGCTTCTAAGCTGGTGTAGTAGGTTTAACTGGGCTTTGTGCATTGTGGCTCGTCCGTCTGGGGGCGGCAGGGATAAAGCTGCCGGGTCGATGGGAAGCTGGTCGGGGAGATTTAGTCCGCAGCGTGTCCGTTGGCGAGCAGGGCGGTGATCCGGGGCCTCTGCGTCCGTCACACTGATAAACATCCTGTGAGCGCTTCCGAATTGCCTGCCGCTTAATTACGTAGCTAAGATCACTGAGTATTTTGTGTCGTGTAATTAACAGAACAGTGATTTCTCACTAATCAGTAAAGTCAGAAGAAAACAACTGTAGTCATCGCTCTGTTCAAACTCCCAGCTGTGGGTTCTTTTTACATGTTGACTTAACACGTTTCCGGGGCAGAAGTGCCCCCACAGGTGCTGCCCTTGTCCTCACCTAGCACCAGTCGGCGTGGCAGCTGCCGGGCCGCCCCAGCGCCCTCTCCCAGGGCCCCCACTGGCTCCACGCGAGGTTTCCTGAGCCTGCTGGCGGCCACGGACAGAGGCCATGCGCTCTGTACTGGCCCTGTGGGCCCGCCTTCCTGTAGGTGAAAAGGACAGAGCAGGAGGCACGGGGATGAAATGTTGGGGGCGTTCGGCTCCCAGGGAGGCAGGGAAACTAAATCAGCGACGTGAGGACCTTGGACGCGGCAGGGCCAGTAAACAGCCTTCCTGGGGACGCAGCCCCTCCATCACGCCGAAGGCCGAGCTGCGGTGGGGGGGCGCCCAGAGCAGAGAGGGGTCTGCACACGCTCCCGTGAGGCCTGGGGGGTGCCGCAGCCCGGCCGCCCCCTCCCGCCCCCCAGTGCCCCCAGTGTCTGTGTCACCTCCCTCTCCCGAGGCGCCTGCGCCCAGACCCCTTCACAGGTCCTCCGTCTGGTTCCCGCAGATGCTCCCACAGGGGCTGTGCTACAGGCGGGGGACTGAGTCAGGGCAGGTGTGTACGTCCTGTCTTCCCCTCCAGGTGGGGCCCCCTGCAAGCTGCCCCAGCGTCATGGGGCCCAGCCGCGCCTCCTGAGCACCTGGAAGCAGCCAGGGCTGGGGGGGCGGCGCGCGACTCCTCGGGGCTTCCTCTGCACGCCGCCCGACGCCAGTGCACGCCCACCCATGTCCTCGCTGGGGGAGGGTGCCACCCTCGTCCCCTGGGTCATGGGCGCACCCTACCCATCTGTCCACTGCCCTTCCAGACCCTGCAGAGCTCTGGACCCCAGCCTCACCCCAGAGACGCCCGCCCACCCCCAGCAACGGGACAGGGACGGGGCGCCAGAGCAGCTCCCACCCGGAGGCCTGCTGCAGTGCCCTCAGGCCAGAGAGGGTGGGGACAGCCCTCGGGGCCGGGGCGGTTCCAGCAACCGTATCTCAGATTCTCCTTCGGCAGGGCTCTCGCTGCACCTCGGCCCAGGCCGGCTGTGGGGTCCGACTGGCCGTGGTCAGCTGGCCCCGCGTCCTCTGCCCTCCAAAGGCGAAGGTGCCGAGATGGCGGCCTGGCTGGGCAGTTTGCGCGGCCTCCAGGGAGGGCATTAGCATATAAATAGCCGCCTGACGCCGGCCACCACAGCTGAGCACGTTTAATTTTTAGTTTATAAGAGAGAATGGGCGTTAAACGCGCAGCCGTCAAGCCCAGAGACAAATGCAGGTGGGAGCCGCTGGTCTGACGGGCTCCTGCCTTGTTTTTAAAGGGAATCACGCAAACTGAACAAAAGTGATTTCTTGGGTGAAAAGTAATTGAGATTGCGCACCAAGTTAATTAGATCGTACAAAATTTATTGAATGGTCCCAGCTGTATCTCGAGTGCGCACTGGCGGGCGACCGCTCCGGAGCGAGGCCGCTCTCCCCGGCCCCTTCTCAGATAATTAGTGACCCCGCTGCCCGACGTGCGTACACGGGTTGTGTTGTATATTTTAGCTGTTTTACTGCTTGTTTAATTATGATTGCGGAGACTCATTCTTCTAAATCCTCTTAGCTTGGGTGAGAATCGGGTTGTCTGCTTCCCCCAGCCGCCTGCAGCCGCTGTGTGTCAGGCCGGCTTCAGTGCAGGGCCGGCCGGCTCCCCCAGCCTCATCTGTCAGTGGGGGTGATGGCTGCTGGGCCTGGCCTGGCCTCGTGGCCCCCGGACCAGGGGGCAAGGTCTGCTTCCAGTGCCACTGGGAGGGGGACTGGCCTGCCTCAGCCGGTGCCTCCTTGGGCTGTGGTCCCCTTCCTCGAGACCTCGGGTGTCCTCGTCCCTACTCTGTCCCCAGCACCTCCCTGCTGCTGGGTCAGTGCTGGCTTCCGACCCCACCCCTGACCTTGCAGGGAGGTTGCCACCATGCTGCCTTGAACTACTGGGCTGGCCCCAGCTGTGCCGTTTCTGAGGTCGCCTGGCGGGCGGTGCTGCTTTTGTCTGAGCAGGCGCCTGGTGGACGGCCCATGAGCAGGTCATGCCGGGGTCGCAGAGCTGTCTGTGACTCCCCTGACGTGCAGTCCGTCTGGGGTCCAGCGCGTGGGCTCCCTGTCCCCTGACCCTGGGCAGCAGGAGCCCACGAGCCAAGCGCTGTGTCTTTGGCAGCCTGACCTGTGGTGTTCCAGGCAGGGGTGGGCCGGCCACCGCTGGGGCTGCTCCTGGACACGGAGCTAAGTCTTCGGTGGCAAGGCTCTGCCTGGGGACCTGGCTGTGGGGGCACGAGGGAGGGCAGTTCCTAGGGGCCCAGCGCCAGCCCTGCATTTATGGAGGATGCGGCTGCTCCTGGACCGGGTGCTGCCCACAGTCACCTGTGCTGACCTAAGGACAGAGGGTCCCGGGCTCCGGGGTCAGCGACAGGGACGCACCTGCTAATGGGAGAGTCAGAGGGTGTGATCCCTGGTAGTTAACGAAGCAGCCGAATGGTTTTTAGGAAATGGAAACCTCCTAAAAGTCCCCAGGGAAATGCAATGGTGGGAGCAACACACGTACCGTTTTACGGAATGACCCCCATATTTAAAGCCCGGCGTCCGTGCTCTGCCTTGTACACCCGGTCGGCCCACATCCACCTTTCAGAAAATTAAAACACATAAATCCCGTTTAGTGCCGATCACACGGCGTAGGCCGGGGACCGCGCGCCCGAAAACCCCGGGCTGCTCTCCACCTTTCATAAATTCCTGGGAGGTTCTGCACAAAAATAATTTTCAGGTCCGTGGCTCATTGTTATTCAAACGTGATTGATTGTCGTCATTTGCTCAGCTCGGGAGTTAAGTGCCCCTGTCATTTCCAAAGAGCGTAATTGGGACGTTTCACAGGTCAGCGGCGGAGACCGGCTTCCCTCTTGATCAGTGTTAGACTGATAACAAAAATTACAGTTTCCCGTGATTAATGTCCCCGCACCTCCAGGCGCAGGGCTGCGGGCTGCACCCAAACAAAGTGCATCTGCATCTGCTTAGGCCTCGGGGGTGGCACCGACGGGGGCCGCCACGGTGGGCACGGCTGGTGAGGCGCCCTGGGCGCGGGCGCTCGGCGTGGCTGTCGGGGTGTTTCGGGGCCCGTGTCAGATGGCTCCGTCCCTCGTGTGCCTCGGGCGCCCCTGCAGCCCCGCTGCTGGCCGTCCCCAGACAGGGTCTCCCTTCCGGGCCTTCGGGTGGGCGGCAGTTGGCGGTGTCGGCGAGGTGGGTGTGCCGCTCGGCTGGCCCCAGGGGGCCGGAAGTAAGAAGCAGCACCGGTGGGCAGGGGGCAGGGCCTTCTGGATGCCTCCCACTGTGACCCCCTCAGGAAGGACAGGTCCCCACGAGGTCGCTCCTGTGAGAGGAGGGGGGCGAAGGGGGAGGAGCCGGCCCTGAAGGGTTTTCTGAGTGGGGCTGGCTGTGGGCACCTGTTCCGGATGTTCCTGTCCCAGTGTCCCTGGCACACTGGTGTGTACGAGTGGCCTTGGTCACCCAAGTTGGTGAACTCCTCTGGGAGAGCTGTCGGCCCACCCCAGGGCCTCTGTTGCTCCTACCGAGCCTGATGCAGCCCAGAAAGAGGGTGGGGGGAGGTCCAGGCCCCCCCCCACGTGGGGCAGGGGCAGAGGTGCACCACCTGCGGGAGGTGGTGACCCAGGCTGGGAGGTGACCTTGTCCAAGGGGTAGAATATTCCACCACAGCGGTGGTCACGTCGGCGCCCCTGAGGTCAGAGCGGGGTGTGGCTTGGGGGGCCAAGCAGAGGCTGGCCCGAAAGGGGGGATGTCGGGGGCCTTGGCTTTTTGGCGTGAACTCTGCTCTGTGAGGCTTTGAAGCGGTGCGGGCTCCATGCAGGTCGAGACTCCGGGCAGCTGGGAGGTTACACGTCAGGTCGGGTTCTGGATGCCAGGGGAAGGCACGTGGAGCTGCTGGTTTTAGGGACGCGGGGGGGTTGTCTGGGGGACAGGCCAGTGTGCTCAGCTGGTGACGCCAACACCCCGGCCTGCAGGGCCACTGGGGTCAGGGAACCTCCAGCCTCTGGCTGCTGTCACCACGCAGGTTCTGGGGTGTCTCCACAGATGGCGGCCCCGGGGGATGAGGACGAGGACGACGATGATGACGACTTCGTGGAGGTTCCAGAGAAGGAGGGCTACGAAGCCTGTGTCCCCGACCACCTGTGGCCCAAGGGCGGTGAGTGGTGGGAGGGGCACTGGGGGAAGGGTCCTCAGCAAGGGTCCCTTGGCTGTGACCTCAGGTGTGGGACCTACAGCCCCCTGATCGGTGGGGGGTGGCTCTGCCGGGCCAGGTGGCCCTGGGGTTCATGGTGGCCGCTGGCGACGAGGGAGGTGCTTTCACTGGCACCGGCCCTGGGTGGTTGTCTGGGGGGCCTGGCAAGGCGCTTCCTGCGTCCAGTTAGTGTGGGGCCACCAGATGGCCTCGGAGGAGGACTGCAGAGGCCCCTGTGCTGACCGCCCGCTGCGGCGGGGGCCACCCTGCTTGGGAGTCGGAGGTCCCGGCCCCGGGGGGTGAGTGCAGGGCTCCACTGTGGTCCCTAGAGCGGCTTGGGGGGCCTGCTGTGGGCACAGAGGGGGCCCATGGCAGTGGCCACTCCCTTGGGTGCAGTGAGCACCCACATTCCCCAAGCCGTGCCCCCGATTGCTGTTTCTGGAGGTATCGCAAGCAAGGCAGCCCCCCTCTGTGCCGCCCGAGGACTCGCAGCCCCCGGGTCCAGCGCAGGTGTGGGTGGGCTCCAGGCCTGGTCTCTGCCGTCTGGACAGCTCCGCCCTCCACTCGCCACGGCGGCACCCAGGGCCGCAGCCCTCGGGGGCAGGTGGGGCCCAGCGGCAGCGCCTCACAAGGGCAGCAGAGACCCCACAGCCCCTGGGGCAGGAGTCGGCCTCTGCTCTGGGCAGCTCACGACAGTCCATTTGCACCTGGAGGGGCGGGTGGCGGGTGCTATCTGACCAGTGTCCTCTGGCCACCAGTGTCCTCTGAACAGCTGTGAGCAGGTGGGCCTGGAGCGCACCAGCCGCCCCGGGTCCAGAGTGGGGTTCCCGGGGCCCCGTGCAGAGGACCGGGTGGGCGTCCTGTCCCGGACCCTGTGCTGCGCTCCCCCAGCCTCCTGCCCCACGGTGCTCTCAGGCCGGCCCTGCACTGCCTGGGGCCGGGAGCTGAGCGCTCCCACCTCTGAATTTTCAGAGGGGCTTTTGTCTTCCCCTTAATCCTGGCGTCTGCCGGTGCCGTCAGCTTCTGAAATTTACATTTTAATCGCAAGGCCAGCTCGGGGAGGGGAGATCGATCGTGGCAGGCGGGAGGCTAACTTTGCGCCAGCCCCAGCCGCTCCGTTTCCTACCATCGACCGTCCCACCCTGTCCGCCTCTCTGCTCCCTGTGGACACAGTGCCCCTCGGTCAGTTTAAACAGAAAAGGGGACGCGAGCGTTTTTGTGATTAGGCGGTGGCAGTCAGCTGGCGCCAAGACCCCGGGCTTGATCAGACGCCCGGGGGTCTGAGGGCTGGGGGCTCCCGCTCTGCCAGCCGAGTCCTCCCTGAGAACCACATCCGCTTTCTGGGTTTTGCTTTGCCAGTGTGTCAGTGAGATTGATTTGCTACCACGACGTGAAGATGGTGGTGTGTTTCTAGTGCCCCAAGTATTCACCTTGCCCTAACACACTCACCCATCTTTTTAATGGTTTAAATAAAGCAACAGATCAATGAAAAATGTAGTTTATTCTTGTAACTCAGGAATTCTCACCTTGATCTTTGGCTCTCACTGCGTCCCCCGAACACTGACGCTCACTGACCAGCCTCTGCCTCCCGAGCGCGTGTGTGGCCGGCGGAGCGTCCCGCTGACTTGCAGTCAGAGTCCCGGGCGGGCGAGTGCGCGCTCTCGTCGGTGGGGCCTGCGATGCGGTGTTGGTGACGGAGCCGGGCCCGGACTCCAGCCTCCTGCCCAGGGCACCCCGGGGCTCACAGCCGTGCCCTCAGGTGGCAGAGGTGGGCCTGGCCACCTCCAAGTGGCTCTGTCTTGTGTCCTGTACTTTCAGCATGAGACCCCAGCAGTGGGGGGGAGACCCCCGCTCACGTGACAGAGTGCAGGGCAGGCCACGTGCACCCTCTGCTCACCTCCGAGAAAGGCCAGGCAGCCCCAGCCGGCAGGTGTAGCCGCAGGCAGAGCGCCGCTGTGGTCTGCCGTCCCCGACCCTGGCCCGTGCCGGGGAGCCACAGCCTGAGGCAGAGGTGGCCCTTCTGGCAATCTGGCCTGGCACCGAGTCCTCCCTACAGCCCCCCCTTCCCCAGGACGTTAATCCAGGGGCAGCACCCCTGCACCCCTGCACCCTGTACATCGGGCTCTGTCAGTCAGTGTCGCTGGGACCCTCTGCCCCAGGCAGGGCTGGGTGTTCAGCAGGGCTGTGGTTTCTCACCTGGTAGCCATCAGCCTGCGTGTGCTCGGCAAGGGCTTCTCAGCCTCGAAGCCCATGGCGCTGCTGGGTTGGGTCCCCCGTCCGCTCCGAAGCCAGGATCACACCCATTTGGTCCAAAGCCACAGCCCGAGGGCCGGGCGTGCCTAGCAGGGGTTCCCTGTCTCCTCCTCCCTCCCTGTAACCAAAAATCGCTCTCACTGACGCGGCTCCGCCCTCGGCCCTTCCAGGTCCGTCTGCAGAGTAACCCTCCTCTCAGCCTCCATTTCCACCCTTGTTGACCCACTGTTTGCAGAGACAACAGATTTTAGACGCTTTTCAACTGAGTAAGCCTGTCTCTTAATTGGTCTTCATCTCTTTAATTACCTATCACTGTACTTCACATGGGTCAGCAGTTGGTTGGTTGTTTTTAATACTTTCCGATTTGCTGTTTTGTTTCTTTCCTATTTTCATCTTCTGTTTGCTAAATTAACTTGTCTTTTGCTGGTTTAAAAAATGGTCATTCAATAGAGTAAAAGAGTAGATACTTTTGTTCCGATGGTTGTCCTTGCTAATTAAAGACTCACACTTATGAGGCCCAGCCATACACTGTGAAAACCAGACATTTATTGAGGACGACCCGCAGGTACGAGACACACTGTACAGAGGACAGTGACACCTCAGTCCCCTTCAGAGCAGGCACCTTGGGACCTCACGCAGGTCTCCCAGTCATCACCAGCTGCCCTGTTGTATTTTCCTGAGTCTCATCAACAGTCCGAAATCTCTTCCCTTTCATCAAAGGTGATTTTAGTTTGAGGAAAAGCCAGAGGTTGCAAGGCGCCCAGTCTGGGCTGTGGGGGCTGAGTCCCCCGGGCGATTTGATGTTTCACCAAAGACCTGATGTACCTGAGACCTGACGCTTGGGCAGGCGCGTTGTCATGACGAAGCTGCCAGTCGCCAGCTGCCCAGAGTTGCAGCCTCTGAACCAGCCACTAGTCCCCGTGGAGCCGTGATGCCGAGTCGGATACAGATCCGTGGCTCCGCTCACTCGGTCGTTCTGAACGTGACGGCCACAGGGGACACGCGCCCACACCGACCGGTGCAGTGAGGCCTCCACTGCTCACACATGCGCGGTCCAGTGCACTCTCCTTGGCTGCCAGGTCACATAGGTGTCACACAAACTGTTCCCGTCACGTTAGCAGTGGCTGGGCTTTTCCAGACACACTTCACGTGTTTGCTGTCCCCTGTTAATTTCTGCGGTTCGTCAGCATTGTGCATGTGTCCCCACCGGGCAGTGACCTGGCTCCTGGGAGCAGGCTGGGCCCCCACAGGGGTGCTGGTGCGGCGCTGCTGGCCAGGGGGACCAGGAGCCACTGCCCTTGTCTTCCTGGAACGGGAGGGTGGACCCTGGCCTTCAGGGGGTTTTAGCCGTGCCCCGTGGGGTGTGGGCACACTGCAGTCTCGGCGGATGCAGCTGTGAGCTGCAGGGGGAGTGGCTCACAAACGTGAGGGCTACATCCTGACCCTTCGGTCACCCCCTTCCCTCCCTTTGGGGTTTAGACCGCAGTGTCCCCGTGTCTGTCTGGGGGACAGTGCCCAGGAGAAGATGAATGTGTTTCAGGGCTGGAGACGGACCCGGCTGTGCAGGCCAGGACGAGGGTGAGGATGGACGAGGAGGCGAGTGACCCCACCTCTGCGGCCGCCCAACCTCACTGGCTGCGGGGCCACCTGACCCCAGCCCCGACGAGCCTGAGCCCCAGGTGACTCCCAGCCCCCTCACCTCTGCCCAGAGCACAGCCTGCCTCCCCAGTCTCCCAAGGTCGCTTGGCTTCTTAAAGGCAGCCCCAGAGGTGCGCCTGGGCCGGGCTGACCCTGACAGCTCTGGTGCCCGGGCAGGGGCGAGTGGGAGCGGGCAGTGGGGGCCCGAGGCTCTGGGGTGTGGGGGGCAGACGGCAGAGCACCCAGGCCCTCGCCCTGTGCCACTCCCTGGGGACAGTGGTGCCTGACTCCCCACAGGGCCTCCACGCTGCCCCGGAGCCCAACCTGGGGTGGAGAGGTCATTGGTCCCACTTGCTGACCCTGGGTCTGGGAGAGGGAGAGGCAGGTGGCTGTGGCCGGGCTGGGCATGCACGGTCAGCATGTCTGCCCTGTTCTCATGGTCCCTGCAGGGCACCACTGGGGCCAGAGGAGGCGGGGAAGCTGGCCGAGGAGCGGGCCCGGGCGCCCGTCCTGCCCTTCGGGGTGGATCTGTGCAACTGGGGCCAGGAGCCGCCGGCATCCGGACAGGTGGTCAAGTGAGTGTGGACGCATTCGGTGGGCGAGGCGGCCACCCTGCTCCTCGCCCCCACCCGGCGGGCATGCAGCTGGGCGCTGGCCCGGCTCCCCCGGCTCCCCCGCCCACCCAGACTGGCACCCGGCACCCAGGTTTCCTCTGTACCCGTCGCTCCCTGGCACCGGACCAGGTGGTCAGGTGCCAGTGCCCAGGGCGCTTCTCCACCTTTGGGCTCCTTCATCCCTCGTCACCACTGTGTGTGTCACAGCTGTCCTGGGACCCCAGTGGGCTGGGCCCGGGCTCTGCCGGGCATTTCTGGAAAGCCGCCCCCGGTGTGCTAGCGAATGTCTTCTCCGGCACCACGGACCAGGGGGCGCGTCTCCTTGAGGGCCAGGCCCACGGTGCCTCCTCACCTCCTTGCACAAAGCCCGTGACCAGGCCTGGAGTCGGCCTCTGCCCTCTGGCTGCTGGTCTGGGCCTGGCCCCCGGCAGTACTGGGCGCACCCGGCGTTGGCCCTGACAGCCTGGCCGTGCCGTAGGGTCGAGTCTCAGCACCGCTTCTGGAAGCCCAGCGAGGTGGACGAGGAGGTGACCTGCGCCGAGGTCTCTGAGGGGCTGCGGAGTCGCCGCATCACCTTCGCGGGGCGGTTCGAGCCCGTGCAGCACCGGTGCCGCGCCCCTAAGCCCAACGGCCAGCTCTGTGAGCGCCAGGACCGGCTGAAGGTTTGGGGGGCGAGGGGGCAGGGCTGCGGGCTGGGCAGGGCTGGAGGGGCAGCTTCCCCGGCCAGTGGGCTGGGACCCAGTTGCCTGAGGGCAGGGGTGGGGGCAGCGCCACCCTGGGTACGCTCGTCCTGGCTGCAGCAACCCTTTGGCTACTGGGCTGTACCCACCCGGTCCCAGCTGGGAGCCCTGCAGGCAGGACCCTCCTGTGTTCCTCGCCTCACCACCCCCGACACCCTGCCTGCCTGTGTCCGGGTGCTGGGTGGGGAGGGGGTCACTTTAAACAAGCGGACTCAGGTGCCAGAGGCCCCTCCCCTGGCTCTGTGAGGGCCCTTCTGTGGGTGCAGCACCAGGTGGCAGAGACAAGGACAGTGACAGCCACCTTGCTTTCCCATAGTGCCCATTCCACGGCAAGATTGTCCCCAGAGATGACACAGGGCGGCCGCTCTGCCCAGAGGACAGGGCCCGGGAGCAGAGGCAGCAGCTGCAGAGGCAGGCCCAGCGCCCAGGTAGGCACGGGGGCCAGGGAGGGTGGCCCCCACGCGTCCGTGTGACCCCTGCTCCTCCTGCGGCGTCACCTGGGGGGCCGAGTTGCCCGGGAGTCTCTTGGGTGCTCCTGATGGGCGGTGTGGGTACAGCCACCACCAGAACCCCTGTCTCCACTGGTTTGGTGGGACTCTGGGTGCTGAGCCGTGTTCTTAAGCCGATGAAGAAATCGAGGCAGGAAACCCTGGCTGGTGTGGCTCAGTGGACTGAGCACCTGCCTGTGAACCAAAGGGTCGCAGGTGCGATTGCCAGTCAGGGCACAGGCCTGGGTTACTGCAGGCCGGGTCCCCAGTTGAGGGTAGTGGGAGGCAGCCAGACATTGCTGTTTCTCTCCCTCTCCGTCCTGTTTCCTCAATAAAATAAATTAAATCGAGGCAAGAAAAGCCAGTTGGCCAAGCCTGCGGTCCCGAGAGGAAACCCCTGCAGCAGTGAGTGTGCATTGCACCTGCGGTGCCTGCGTGTCTGGGAGGCAGGCAGGGGCTGCTGCCAGCGCCGACTCTCCAGGGGCTCCTTGGGGCTCCTGTCAGCCAGGGTCCCCGTTTCCTGGCCAGTGTCAGATCAAACGGCTGCTGGGCTGCAGCCGCAGCCCCGGCGGTGTCATCCTGAGGGCAGCTTCGGGGCTTTGTCTCCTCACAGCACGTGCGTCCGCATGGACCAGCCGCCCCTCTGCCCTGTGGGCCCGGACAGCGGGGCCGAGTGGTGCCCAGCAGAAGTGGCGGCGCTGGCAGCATGTGGGCGCCCTGGTGGGCCGGGGTCCTGCCCCGAGGCTGGTGGCAGCGTGCGGCCGTTTGCCGTCACCTTCGTCTTCGGAGGCAAAGATTAGGGTTCAGCCTGATCCCCAGGGTGGGCACCAGGCCGGCCCTGGATGGGCCGGAGGCCTGACCTGCTAATCCGAGGGCTGTGAGCTCGGGGGCAGATTAAGTGCCTCCTTTTCCTGTCAGCCCTGAAGAGCCCCTGGTTCTGCAGCCCGCGGTGACTTGTTAACAACAGGTGCGGGCCGCGGGCCACGCTGGCCAGTCAGATGTGAAATAGGATCTCCCCACTAACTGCGGTATCGATCCCGCCTCCTCGCACGCGGGGCAATTTTCTCTCCCCGGCCCTCACCCCAGTGACAATGCGCGGAGCTCCGGGCCGTCGGCGCAGGAAGGCCCTGCGGCCTGGCACCTATTGATTTTCCTCAAAGGCTTTTAAATTGCTCCTTCATTTTCCCGAGATGCTCATTCCACCCCGAGCAGGCGGCGCGTCTTCCCGTTGTGTTTAAACAATCGCTCCATTCACTGGACTCCTAAACTGTGACGCCTTCTTATTACTGGGAGATAAACTGTTCAGACAGTTTGCCTTAATCTTGGATTAATCGCCTCTGTGTCTGCGCTGTGCGGGCCGCTCTCCTTCACTCCAAAAAATCAGCCCGGGGAGGCCTCGCCATCCGTCTGTGGGACGCACGCGGCTCCCCCCGGCCCGGCGTGTCCTGCCCTCGCCCCTGGGCCCCCCCCCATGCGTGGTGGGTGTCCTGCTGGAGCCAGGGTGCCCACAGGCCTGGTGGCTTCCCTAGCCGGCTGGGATGGCCCGAGGCTGCATGTCCGGGACACCCCGGGGCCTTCGGGAGCATATCAGCTGCTGATGGGGATGCAGAGCAGGGACCTGGCGGGCTGGAGCCTCGGCCTTTGACCCCGATGCTGCCCCTGCCCTTGGCCCAAGACCCCCTGAGACAGAGTTCTCGTCAGTCCTGTGAGTGAGCACCCGGGCCCGGCCTGTGGCTGGTGACGTTCTCTCCCCGGAGCCGCCTCTGCTGCCCCTCGTGGCCGGCCCTGCGGGACGTGCCCGGGAGCAGCAGGGCCGTCTGGGCCGGTGAAGCGCTCGTTGCCGAGACACCTTGGGGCCAACACAAACCACGCCCTGTCCGCCCTGACCCCTGGCTGGGCCGCTCTGGCCGTGCGCACCCCTGGGCAGAGGTCGTCGAGAGGCCACTGCTGGGGGTCCGGTGGACCCAGTCCAGCCTGGAGGCCAGGCAGCAGCCGTGGACAGCTCCGTCCCCTGGCGCTGCTCCTCCCGGCCCGTGCGGGCCGCGCCCGGGGTGGCGGCGGTGAGGAGCGCCTCCGAGGGTCAGCCAGCAGGCCTCCCTGCCCCGCTGCCCCTGCCGCCATGGTGGGCGAGCCAAGTGGCCCTAGTCAGGAAGAGGTCGGGGGAGGCGCCGTTGTTGGCGCCAGGCGTTTTCTGGAGTCTCGGGGTCTCTTTGCAGACTGGCAGGACCCCGAGTTGATGAGGGACGTGGAGGTAGCCATGGGGGTGGACCTCGGCTCGTCCCGGGCCGGCGGGAGAGGCAGAGGCAAGAGGAGGAGGCACCCCCGCCTCACCAACCTGAAGCAGCAGGCCGACACCGCCCGCACACGCATCGCCAAGAAGGTCTTCGCCAAGTACGAGCCCGGTACCGAGTCCTGGGTCTGGGGGTGCCGGCCAGACCCCCAGCGTCCCCAGGCCTCCGTGGTGCCCCCTGCTGCACGTTTCTCCGTGACCACGGGCCCCCAGGCGGACGGACGGCTGTCCCAGTCAGTGCGGGGGGCGGTGGGCCCTCAGGAGCAGAGCCTGACCCACGTCTTCCTGGAGGGAAGGGCCTGCGGGGCTCCAGCTGAGGCTCCGGGAGCAGGGCCCGACCCGGAAGGGCTGGGCGCTGGCCTAGCCGGGCCCTCATGGTCAGGCCCGGGGTGTCCACATGGTGACTTCAGGGAGGCCAGTTGCCCCCCAAGGCCGGCAGGACGAGCTCCGAGCCGTGTCCGTGCTGCGTCCTCAGGTGTCTGCCCACAGCCTGCACGTGGGGCACGTGTGTGGCCGCAGAGTCTGAGTGCGTGTCCCCGTGTCACTGCCTGTGTCACCCCCACCCCCAGCTGGGCAGGCGGTGCCCCGGGCAGGGCAGCTGGCCCTGGCTTGGCCACCTGTGGCTCCCGGCCGGGTCGGAGCACTGTCACTCCTCAGCTGGGAGTCTGCGGGGGGTCAGGGCCGTGGCTGCCTGGGACCCAGCGCCCGGGCCCCTCCGTCACGCCGCGCTCTGCTCTCCCTGCAGGGCGGCCGTGCGGCGAGTGAGCGCAGCCCTGGACCAGATGGACCGGAAGAAGCACAGGAAGTTCGAAAACCAGTTCAACTACGCTCTGAGCTAGGGGTGGGGTCCGCAGTGCCTCGGTCCACGGGCTCGTCAGCCCCTCTGCCTCCCCTGCAGTGGGCGGGAGGGCGCCAGGGGGAGGGAGATACAGGGTGTGCCGTGGCCCAGCCCTCATCGCCCAGCCTTCTGGGGTGGCCACTCGGGAAATCGAGGAAAACCCACACTTGTGTGTCAACGCTCTTTCAACGCAAATGCCAGGGGGCACGACCCTCCCACTCTGCCGCTCTGTTTCCTACTGCAGCCGTTCGTCTCCGCGTGGAGACTCCCTTCCTCTGTCCAGGAGAAGCCTGACAGGGCAGGGACGCACCCGGCGGGTGGCTCAGGGGCGTCAGGCACGTGTCCCGTGCGGTCCCGCGCCCCCCACCCCCGGGCCCTCCGAGCCCGCCTGTGTCCATGCTCCCCGTGGGGGTCGAGGTGGTGCATGGAGCCGTCACGGGCGTTCGTGTCTGGCTTCTTGGAAGCACCCGGCCCCAGGGCCCTTCCAAGTGGCAGTGTGGGTCGGGTGTCGGTCCCCTTTATGGCCCTGCACGCTCCACCGTGCGGAGGCCCCCCTGATCCGCCACCCCTCAGCTGCCTGTGGTGGTCGGCACGTCCCGGCTGTTGCGGGGAACGTGGCTGGAACACGGGTGTGCCACTTCTCTCGGGTGCATAAGTAGGAGGGAGGTGCTGGGTCACCTGGCATCTGTTCATCACTGAACCCGCTGCCCACAGGGGCTCGGCCTCTGTGAGCTCGCGAGGTCGCGAGGGTTCGTCTTCCAGCTGCAGCCGCCCTTGGTGGTGAGGTGCTGTTTCCTAAGGGCTGACGGCGCTGAGCACCTCTTTGTTTTTTTAACTCCTCACCCAAGGAAACATTTATTGATTTTAGAGAGAGAGGAAGGGGGAGGGGGAGAGAACATCGATGTGCGAGCGAAACGCCAGTGCCCTGCCCTGGGCTCGAACCCACAAACCGGGTGCGCAGGACGACGCTCCGGCCCCGAGCCCCTGGCCAGGGCGTGGGGAGCACCTTTCTCGTGCTTGCCGGCCGGCCGCCCGTCTTCGGAGGGAGGTCTGCTCGGGCCCCGGGCCGGAGCGAGCGAGTTCCCCGAAGGGCCGGCCGGGGCCCCGCGCCTGCCCGGCGGAGCGTCCCCCGCTCTGCCTTTGCCTTTGCCGTGGTGTGTTGTGAGGCACAACGGGCTGTTTTCTTCTTTCCTTTTTTTCCACGTTGGGGGTGACGTGCCGATGTGATGATAGGTTTGCAGGGGCACGTGTTGCACAGGGGTGTGCACACCCGGCCGTCACGCTTACGAGCTGCAGAAGGGTCAGCAGTTGACTTTGACGCCGCACGGAGCCTGTGCTCCCGCTCACTGCCCGTGCGTTTTCTGAGGGTGTCGCGGGCTCGGCTTCTGAGTTCAGGCCTTCGCTCCTTTCGAGTTGACTGTTCCCCCCGGTGAGTGGCCGGCTCCCAGTGGCGTGAGCACCTTTGGTGAAAGGGCTGTCCTTTCCCTGTGGAAACATCCGGCAACTCACTGATCGTCAGTTGGCCACAGACTCGAGCTTATTTCTGGGCTCTGGTTTCCGCCGCACAGAAGCCCTGGCGCCGGCTCGGCTGCGTCCTGGTCAGCAGGGCCTTGCGGTGTTTGGACGTGGGGAGAGTGGGCCCCCAGCCTCGCTCTGTGGCAGAACCGTGTGGGCGGTTCTGCGTCCCTGCTGCTTCCAAGGGCATTTCAGGGTCGTTTCTGCGAAAAGAGAGAACCAGCGTGAATTTCGGCAGAGGCCGCTCGGACTCCGAGCGCCACGTGGGACAGCGCCGCGCCCTGACGCCGTTCTCCGGTCCGCGGCGCCGTTTCGCGGCCGACGCTGGCGCAGCGGGTGGTGGTTTCTAGCACCGGCTTCGCACTGACCTAACTATTCTGAGCATTCCTTTTTTTTTATGCTTTATAGAGGAAATTGTTCTCCGAGTTTTTGTTTTTGGCTTGTTGGTTGCTGGTGTGTAGAAACACAGCTGATTTGCGTGTCGGCCTTGCCTCTGCGGCCGTGCTGAGCACAGGTGTCAGCCCCTTCAGTCCTGCAGGGCCGGGGGGTGTGGGCCTGTTCCCCCGGGTGGGACTGGGGGCGCCGTGCTCCGTCCTGTCAGAGGGGGGGGCTCCTGTGCTTCCCGCCTCTCAGCCGGGGTCCCGGCGGGCGTCCTGGGTCTTGACGGGCGTCCTGGGTCTTGGCGGGCGTCCTGGGTCCTGGAGCCAAGCGTGATTCTCTCTGTCTTGCCGCCGCTGAGCTGAGCAGCGTGAGGTGGGCTGGGGCCTTCACGTCTGGTCTGAGCAGGGCGTTCTCTGCGTCCAGCTTGTCTGGGGTTCTTGTCACGAAGGCCTGCGGGTGGCGAGTCCCGCCAGGTGCTCTCCCTAACTCGACGGGCAGCCCTGCCCTCCAGCCCGGCACGTGGTGAACTGCGGTGAACCGTCGTGTGTTGGACCGGCTCACTGGGAGCTCGCAGTTCCATGGCGTAGTTGGCGTGTTTTCCCGAGGTGTCTGCGTCCGTGCTTCTGAAAGACAGCGTGTGCGGCTTCCTCCGGGCAGAGGCCGTGTGCGAGGCGGAGCGGGTCCTCCACTGCCGTCTGTGGGCCTCAGACGTCGACAGTCACCAGTGAAGCCACCCGGGGCCGTGCTCTTCTCGGCGGGCAGCTGCCCTGCTGGCCCGTCCCGCTGCTTGTCCGGAGCCTGCGGGGCTGGCGGGGCGTCCGCTCCTGCCCGTGTCGGGGGCAGTGGTCGGTGTGTCTGCGAGTTTGCCTGCTTCACCTCAGTGTTTTCTAACTTTCTGGGGACTTCCGTGTTTACTCATTGGGCACTTAGGAGTGTGTTGTTTAATTACCACATAATTGTCAATTTCCCTAACTTTTCTGTTATTTCCAATTTCATTCCATGGGGCCAAAGAATATGTTTCATGGGATTTCAGTCCTTTGAAATCTGAGGCTTACTTTGCGGCCTTCCCGCTTTCCTGTGTGTCTCCCAGTTTTTTACTGTCTGTTGGACATTTTCAACACCAGATGTAGCAGCTCTGGAAGTTGGACCCACCACTGCCCGATGTGCTGTGGCTGCTGTCCATCTGTCCAGGGTCTGGATGAGTTCTGTAAAGCCTGTGTCCTTTGTCACCCGTACCCCTGAGGTCTGCGCGGTCAGCCGGGTGACCAGCTAACGACGACCAGAGCGGCCCCTAGAGGCTCTGACGCACCCTGGCCGGTGTGGCTCAGTGGATTGAGTGCGGGCCTACAAACCAGAGGGTTGCCAGTTCGATCCCCAGTCAGGGCACGTGCCTGGGGTGTGGGCCAGGTCCCAGCAGGGGACGCACGAGAGGCCACCACACAGTGATGTTTCTCTCCCACTCTTTCTCCTTCCCTTCTCCTGTCTCTATAAATAAATAAAATATTTATTTAAAAAAAAAAGGCTCTGACCCCAGAAGTCTTGCGGCGTTGTGCTGACAAGCCGTGGGGGCCCCTCAGCCCCCAGCCCCGCCTTCCGGCCTGTGCACAGCCTGTAGGTCGGCCGGACAGAAAGCGCGGCGTCTCCTCGGTGCGTGGAGACCCCGGCCTTCCTCTCCTTCGCCGCAGCCACCGGCAGGCGCGTCGCTGCACAGCCCTGCGGGTCATCCTCAGCAGACCAGTCTGGAGCTGGCCGTGTGGAGCCAAGTGAGGACGAGCCTGGCGCGCGGGGCTTTTCCTGGCAGCAGCTGGACAAGCCACGTGGGGGCAGTTCTCTGACAAGGAGGCTTTTGGGGTACCCCCCCCAGCCTCTGCCTCCAGCAGCGGTGACCTGCCGGCTCTGCAGGCAGACTCAGAACCCGCGCCGGCCGGCTGGGCGACTTTCCTGGGACACACCTCTCAGGCTGGTACGAGTCTCGGGTTAACTCCCAGAGCTCTGAAGAAGTGGCCTTTGTCAGGCTCTGCTGTGCATAGGGGGACAGGGGTCTCTGAGGTCTGGCCCTTGCCTCTGGAAGAGCCACTCTCGTGGCTGCGCAGGGTCCCGTCCGTTCGGGGGGCAGGGCCCGGCGTGGACCTGAAGGGCTCAGCGACAGGCAGAGAGGTGCTGCCTGGCCGCTCCGTCCCCACCGCCGCCCCCCGCAGTCCTTTGGCAAGTGTCCGTGGCCACCTGTCCTCTCGACACAGAGACGTCTCCCAGGGCACGACCCTGCGCGTGGGGTTGCGGAGCCAGGGCGCTGTGCACGTGCAGCCTGGCGGGGGCTCTAGGGGTGCTCCCCGGGGCGGCGGTGGGCGGGCGGCTCTCCCACCAGCTGCTGACCAGCGTGCTCGCCACCCCACCCCCACCCCCACCCCCGGCGTGTTCGCCGAGGTGCATACTTGCTAAGTGGTGTGAAAAAGTGCAGTCTCATAGTTCAGTGGGTAACGAAAATTTCTCTTAAAATGAAATTTGTTGTTTTCCTTTTCCTGTGCTTATTTTCTATTGTCTTGTTTATTTCTTACTAACTTGTAGGAGCTTTTTATTATTAAGACAACACCTGGCTGGTGTAGCTCAGTGGATTGAGTGCTGGCTTGCAAACCAAAATGTCACTGGTTCGATTCCCAGCCAGGACACTGTAGGGGGCGCACAAGAGGCACCCACAAGCTGACATTCCCTCTCTCTCTCCTCCCCTCCCCCTCTCTAAACATAAATAAATCTTTCTTTTTAAAGAAAGAAAACTAGATCTACATGTTACATTGCAAATATTTCCTCATTTTTTCTGATTTCCCTTGTGTTGCTTTTTGCTGTGTGGACTTCCTGTGTAGTTAATTTCATCGTTCGTGCCTCCTGAGGCTTGTGTGTTTCTGCACTTGAAACCCCGCCCTGACCTCTCACCGACGTCTCCCGGGCAGCGTTTGTGTCTGCCGGCTCAGCTGTCGCCGTGCTGTTTGGGTCGCGGCAGCCGTGCCGTGTTCCCGGGCCAGCAGTCTCTTCACTCTGTCCAGAGGTGCGGGGAGAGAGCTGGCAAGCTGGAGAGGGGTCCCCGTGGGCGTCTGGTGAAGACGAACCTGTGGGTCTGTGGAGGGCAGGCCCGTGTGGCCAGCAGGTGGGCGCTGGGGGCCCCCTCCCCTCAGGCCCAGGTGACGTGGAGGAGGCTGCACCTGCGCTGGCAGTGTCCTCGGTACGTGTCACTGGGCGGTTTGGGTCTCCGTGACTCGGAGGGTGAGGCGGCCTGGGGGGGCCTGGCCACTGGATGGGTTTGGTGCAAGAGGTGTGAGCCCACCTGCAGGAGAGGGGTGGGCACCCCTTACGTGGGGGACTCGGGCGAGAGCTGGGCAGCAGCTCCTCTTCCTCCCACCCCCCCACACCCCCAGGATTCAGCCTGTCCTCAGCCGCGGCGAGGTGGGGGCAGGGACATGGCTGCTTCAGAGGGGCTGCCACACAGGACGGCGGGAGGGGCAGGACACAGCGTCCTGGAGCACTGCCCGCCTGTGGGGCGAGGAGCTGGAATGAGACCCCCAGGGACCTGAGTCCCACCCTGGTGCCATGCCCTGCATCCCGGACACAGATCTGCTCAACCAGTACCCCCCGCCCCTCCGCCCACCCCACGGCGCCCACTGGCGCCCCACTTGGGGACCTCTTCTCCTCCCCCGGGGCTGGGGGGGCTTTCTCTGTGCTTCGTGACACTTCCTGGTGGCATGTCACACTCGGGGCTCCCAAGATGGAGACCTGGGGACTCTGCACCGGTCCTGGGTGCCACCCTAGGATGCTGGACGTGACAGTTCAGGCCAGCTGCCCAGGAACCGGGGCCAGGTGACGAGTGACACGGGCAGGTGACAGCAGAGGGACAGGAGGAGCACCACTGAGTGTGGGGAGGGCACCCACAGAGCCTCCTGCTGGGGTGGGGGCTGGGGTCCAGGGTTCGGTGGCTGGGCCATCAGGGGCCACACAGGGCCACCAGGGCTTGCTGTGCAGTTGGGTGGGGGCCGTGGTGCCAGCTGGGTGACAGCAGTGGCCATTGTAGGGCAGGAGGGGCTGTGACCCCAGGGTCCCTGTGGTTTGGAGGAAGATGAGGAGGGAGCCGTGGAGGAACCCCACAAGGGAGTGGGGTGCTGGGTGGGAGCAGCGCAGACAGCAGGTGCCCCCCGAGGGTGCGGCCATGGCTGGGGAAGCCCCAGGAACCCTGCATCCCAGTGGGGTGGGGGCAAGGGCTCTGTGCAGGGGTGCCAGGTCCCACACCTGTTCTCCCCTTTTGACCTGGAACAGCACTTCAACAGCTAAAAGACTACATTTCCCAGCCTCCTCGGGCTAGGAGTGGCCATGTGACCGAAGTGGCCAGTGATGTGTGAGCAGCTGGCCACGTCAGGGAAAAGGCATGTTCTCCCCCTTCCAGCCTGGAAAGGGGATGCAATGGCTGGAGCTGTGCCCTTCCCTTGGGTCTGTGAGGATGGGACCCTGCCCAGGGGGTGAGTGGGAGACAGCAGGACCCAGCTGGGTCCCCAAGGACTCTGCGAAGGTGCCAGAGTTGTGTAGGGCCACCAGCAACCAGAATGAGCTCACACAGAAGAAAATAAACTCCTTCCAACACTGCATTTGGAGTTTCTTTCCCTGCAGCCCCAGCCAGTGCTGACCAACACAGCAGGGGCCAGCCCCGGGCAGCGGGCAGTGGGTTGGTGGTGGGGCGGCGCAGGGTGGGCGCCCCAGGGAGGTCTGGTCCGGGCTGGTCCCCAGTGCCAGCCTCGCTGTTTGGCAGGAGGCACCTTCCATGCTGGGTCTTTGTTGTGGGACCCACACGAGTAAGATTTGGGACGGTGAGGTGGCCACTGGGCAGGACGAGCCCTAGGAGCTTTGGAGCCTCTCCAGATACTGACACCAAAGTGGGGCCGTGCGGAGGGTTCAGGGGTCAGCACGGTCACCTCTCTCTCTGTGCCCAGCTCAAGCCCTGGGGACCCCAAGTCAGACACAGGAACCCCTGGGCACTGGGCTGGCAGGGGTTGGGTGTGGCACCAAGCCCAGTGGGAGCACAAGAGGTGGGGCCAGCCTGGGGCTCCTGGGAAGCAGCCAGAGCAGCCCCCCCGACAGGCACACGGTGGATGCTGGGCTCCCAGCAAGACAGTGAGCTGCAGAGCCAGGGCGGAGCCAGGGCGGTGCGAGGTGGGGGCCACGTGCACCGAGCCTCCCGGCCTCCCAGACCCAGTTCTCCCCGCGCACTGTGCCGTAGCCACAGCTCAGAGCCCAGGGGTCACTGGGAGACTCGGACGGGCTGGTGCGGCCTGTGCCTTCCAGGGCTGGCACGAGCGGCTGTGCGCGCAGCCTCCAGGGCCTGGAGAGCAGCCTGCTCGGCGAGTCAGAAGAGCCTGGAGGTGGAGCAGGCGCGTGGCCGGAGGGGGGGCCGGGGGAGGGAGCGTGGCGGCTCCGTGCCTCCTCCAGGCCTCCCGGCACCTGTTCCACGCCAGGGTTGATGTCAGAGGGTCCACGGTGTGGCTGCTATGTTTAGGGTGACCCTGGCAGATCCCCAGGGCTTGGTGGGTGAAGGGGACAGGGAGGAGACCAGAGCGGGGGTACCTGTGTCTGAAACTCCCCCTTGCCGGCCTCTCTGGTGGAGAATGTTGAGGGGCCAGGCAGGTGGGGGTGGGTGCAGGCATGACAGTGCTGCTCCGCTGAGACCTACGCGCCATGCAGGGACTGGGCTGGTGTCCCGTCCACACCCAGATGAGCTCCACAAGGAGGGCTCCGGGGAACCAGGGCCCCTTGGGAGCAGAGTGGCCCCTTCAGGGCACTGATGAGCACCCCCAGCTCCTGCAGGTGGGGCACTGGCTTGCTGTTCTGGGCCCCTCAAACCCCACTCAGGCTGAGGGCTTAGCACACTGATGATTCTGCCTGCGGCCAAGGGCCTTCTGGAGACTTCGAGAGCTCCCTGGGGCTCCTCAGTTGCCTATACCCTGGAAGCCCTGTCTCAGTGTGGGGCTGGGGGTGTCCTGGCCTTTCTGCACCCCCTTCTGCCCCCACCAGCGGGGTGGTGCTGGGCGCTGGGTGCCGGGCGAGTCCGGCCTCCGGGCTCTCGACCCTGCAGTGCCCCTCCCTGTGGACCTGGAGGCTGGAGGTGCAGGTGGTTCCAGGAAGGGCCGGGACTGAAGGCCAGGAGCCACCTGAGGGGCCAGCGCCCAGGCCGTGTGGGTGGTGGCACTAGAGCAGGCTGCTGCCCCACGGCCAGGGCTGCCCCTCACTGGCCACCCACCGGTGAGGGAGAGGCCGAGGCGCTCTCTGCCACTCCCGTGGTACCTCCTCCTGCCCCCTCGCAGGGTCATTATGCTCCTGGCCAGGCCCCCCTGCCTTGGGGAGGAAGCGGACCCAGCACGGTGGTGCCTCTTCCTGGTGCCGCTCCCGCCGGGAGGCCAGGGCAGGCGCACACCCCCCGCCCCCGTGTCCTCTCCGAGCCCACGGAGGTGGCTGCTCTTCAGCACTGCTGCCCATGCCCCAGCAGCCACTTGGGTCTTTCCAGGAGAGCGGCCACACTGGAGCCCCAGGCTCCGACGGGCGGACTTGGGGAGTTCGGCTGGGGGTCTGCACCCCTGCAAGCCAGAGTTTTCCTCCACTGGGAGCGGCTGGAGCTCCCTCCTCAGGGTCTACCCTGGCCTGCCCACTGCTCAGGCCCCGCGGGGATGAGGGGTGAAGCGCTGCGACCCTGCGCCAGCTGTCCCACTGGGCATCCCGACTCACCCCCGAGAGTGCCCCGGGGCTGCATAGCGGGGGACAGAGGACTCCCC